GTCTGAAGCCAGCTTCACGTTACAGGACTTCAATGAAACTGCATGAATCATATGATTTTATTTTTAGAACCCGTCACAGTCTGGGTTACCAACTCAGAACACCTCTAGTTCTTCCAGGCAGCGTAGTCTTCAACAGCATAGGCAGGTACAAGAGCATCTACCTTTAGTCTCGCTTCAATAATCTTTGTCAGGGTAAGGCAGTCTCCATGAAAACCGCTGCATCCAATGACTGTTTTGTCTGTTCTGTAAAAAACATATTTTAGGACACTGAATTGATAAGACCATAAAACAAAACATATCTTTGGCAATTTTAATTTCAAAATTCTATTCTCATTATTTTCTACAGAAAAAAATATGAATAGCTCAAAAAAAGTTAAGAAAATTTATTGGTAGTACATATGATAAAACCACCATCGTAATTTCCTTAGCCTGGAAAGGCTTCCTATACATAAGAAAAATGCTTCAGGAATTATCATTTTTATATAATAATATAATGGAAAGATAGGTAAAATTTTATGAATATACAAGTTACAGAAAAAAAAAAATCAGACAAAGGCCACCAACGAGACATGCAAAAAGCCTCTTAACTACTCACAGCCTAACGAGAGGCAATCTCAACTGACCAGCCTGGCCAAAACACACAGGAAGAAGTGCTGCTGAGAGGGAGAAGACAAGTACTCTCGAGGAATGGAAGCCGCATAACTTTGATGGGCAATTTAGCGTTACTTAGTAAAGACTTAAAAAGACGTCACTTTCACTCAAGAATCCCATCACTCCTGGGCCTGCCGTGCCCACCCAGCCAAGGCCACAGTCAGGGCCCTGCCCCCGGAGTGTACTGAGAGGGCAACTAAAATTGCGCATGGTGGTCCAAGCCTGTAATCCCAGCTCTTGGGAGGCTGTAAGCAGGTGGATCACTACAGACCCTGAACACCCTGTAGATCCTCCCCTAAAATAAAAATAAAGAATCCCATTACTAAAAATCCATCCTGTCAGTGTACTCACACAGGTTGGCAGAGATAAGTTCTAGGTTCACCTGTGAGCACACAGAACACCCTTCTCACCTATGCACCCATTAGCAGGAGACTGATTACATTTTTATACATCCATACAAATTCAACCCCTGTACCTTAAAACTTGACCCCTAAGTACTGAGATCTATTAGGAAATCTGTATCCGTCTTGTTGAAACCAACTTCACTGCACAGTTAAAGTCCTGCCATCTCTGTCAATTAACAATAAATATATAAATAATATATAAATAAGAACAACAAAAACCAAGACCTCCTATCATCCACAAGGCTTTAATGCCTTCACTGCTGCGGAGGGCTGACAACAGGGAAAGATTAAGGCTTAGAACTTCAAGATGCTCTTCTCAGGTGTTTTTATTTTCTTTTTTAAAGAGAATAAAAAATAGTGAAACAAAACAAAAAACATTAGAAATGATACAGAATCTCCCTAAGCAAAATGACAGGAATTCAATAATGGTTGTTACATTCCATATTGTCTTCAAATTAGTTGCTCAGATTACCAGATATATGCATGTAAAATTGGTCAAAAAATTAAAAAGGAGAGAAAAAAATTAAGTATTAACAGCTTTCAGTAGCCAGCAGAAATCAGCAATATGATTATCCAAACACTTGTGTGTATACACACACATACTTCCCTTCCTTTATTCTTTCTTTTCCCCTTTCCCTCATCCCAGTTACTTCCTTTTGAGCAGTTTCTTTCTCTGTCACAGTTTTCTACTGTACCTTTCAGATTTTATTTACTCTTTCAAGTACTTACACTAGGGAGACAATACAGTGTCCACATATGCAGGTCTGTCCACCTAAGTGCTTTGAGGGATGGAGTTCTCATGAGGCAAATGGCCAGAGTGTGTAGTTTCAAACAGTGGGGCTAGGTCAGCCACAAAGGGCATGGACCAGCGCACATGACAATGCTGTACTGTGCTGTTCCCTGTCCCCACCCCGTAAGCAGCTCATGAAACAGATATTCTGCTCACTCAGCATTACACACTGCAACAGATGTTGCCAAGATGGGAAAAAGTTTCCACAAAGATGGCTTCAAAATTATACTTCCTAATCTGAAATTCTAAATGCTGCACAGAAGAAAAGGAAAGGGCCCACTGGTGGAAAGGAGAGAAACGAGCAAAAAGGAGCTGGCATGACACCGACCAGCACTGCGAAGATGTGAGCCATGGATGGGACCAGGACACAAGAGATGTCCCCTTTCCTCATCCACTTCTACCATACCAAGAGCACAATGCTTGGGACCCAAGCCTCCTCAGGCTCCTCCAAGGCAGGCCTTTGTGACCAACATCCAAATTAACAGCCACTTGACAGCCTTTCTTTCTTTTCTTTTTTTTTGTACTAGGAATTGATTAACCACACTTTAAAAACTATCAAACATAAATCCTGCCACTCTACAAGATGTATTTAGGTGATGTACAGCTATCTGGGCATATGGTGTCATTTTCATATTTTAGGGGAAAAGCTACCTAACCCATTAATACTGTAAGGCGTGGAATGCTTAGGATATATCTAAATTGAATATTCTAGAGGGGGGAGAAACATAGCACAGGTTTTAAAACTTTTTAATGGATAATGGTACCATGGTTCCTCCCAAAACTGACACAGAAATTTAACTGTCACTGTGGCAGTACTGGGAGGGGGCACAGCAGCTGTGCACTAATGCTGTTGTGGGGGTGCCTGGCCCCTCTTGCCCTCTCTCCTCGCCCTCCTGCAATGCCGCAACACAGCACGAAGACCCTGAGCAGAGCTGGTGCTTCAGCCAACTTTCCAGCCCCAGAACCACAAGCCCACGCACTTCTGCTCACTGTTGCCCAGACTCTCGCATTGTTACAAAGCCCCAAGCAGACTCAGATGAACAGACAGAAGGGTGGAGGGAAATACACTAACGTCTAGTCACATGCTTCCTATAAAAGCATTGCTGGTACACAAAGAAAGCAAATCTCACATAAAATTACATGGAAGATTCTTCGGAAACACTTAGAAAACGTTTTTCTGGTAAAATGCAAGATATGTTGTTAAGAAGCAACATAAAAATTCAGAAATTACATGGCTTAACAAGGGGAATCCGATAGTATTAGGTCATCACAAAGGCAACAAGAAAATTGTCATTAAAAATATCTACTTACAATTTGTAGCATTTGGGGCTGTCCCGGGTGTGAATGGAAAAGCCCTCGCTCAATCGGGTGTCAGACGCAACAATTGAGAAATCTTCTCCAGCAATTGCCAATACGGTCCTGAGGAAAATCAGAGAAAAAAATTAATTCTTCAGGGTAGGAATCCTACCTCTCCAAATAGATGAGTGCACCACAGGAAATATTTGGAAAAGTCTATTCCACGTGAACAAGACGATTCAAATGGAGAGACAAAGTGTTCTTGGCATCCGGAAAAAGCCCTAACCCCAAGTCAGAACAATGGCTCACATGAATGGGAAAGCAGCCAAATTACATAGTGTAATAGCCACCAAAACACTACAACCTATTCATGCGAAACACCGTTAGCACAAGCGCAGCGGAGACCTGTGGCCAGGAGGACCAAGCGTAATGTGGTACTGCAAAGCAAACTGAGGTCAGAGAAGAGCCGCACTTCTTCAGAAACGCTTCAGACAAGCAGCTTTGTCTGTGAGACCTTATATAACATCTAGCGGCAGACACTTAGCTATCTGCCAAGGAGTGGGACACAGCAAACTCTTTCTGGTTCTACAACTTCTGGTAGCTTGCTGAAAGCACACTACCCAGTTTTGAATTATGGCTCTGCTACTTAGCAGGTATGAGGCTGTAGCCAAGTTATTTAACTCTTTTTTTTTTTTTTAAAGACTGAGTCCCACAAATGCAGTCCAGGCTGGACTTGAACACATGATCCTTCTGTCTCAGCCTCTTCGTGCTGGGATTACAAGTGTGCACCACCACGCTCGTGTGACTTCTCAAGGCCTCACTTTCCTCATACCCATGACAAAGCTGTAAGACTAGTGACCTCACCAGAGTGCTGAAAGCAAGTAACTGTGAGGTCCTTACAAGACATGTCACTGTTTATAACAGTATGTGACTGCTCCTCCAGTGACTGTGAGCTACAGCTGCTGTATGTGCTCGGATCACCTCAGAGACCCACCCTTGCCACTTATTAGCTGTGTGACCTTGGACAGCAGGGACCACACCTGGGAGAGCTGAAGGGCACAGTTCACAGCATCCAACACTGTGCCTCACAGGACATGAACACTCAGGAAAGGGCAGCTACTATTTTCCTCAGACAGGATTTACAACTAAGGCTCTATGGTAGAAAAAGATTCCCGGCACCACAGACAGCAAGCAAAGGCCAACAGGTAACAATTAAAACGGTACACAATGGTGGTAACGCATTCAGGGGTCTCTTGGCACAGCAGCAGAGGGATTCACTGCTGAAGATTTTGGAATTCTAGCCAGGAACCAAGAACGAGTACAAAGGAGGGACAGAGGATGAAGGGAGGGGAAGGGAATGGGAAGAAAAGCAACAGTAAGATGTACCACGTGCAGGTACAGAGTCCCTGTGATGAATGTTGCTATAAATATAAAATATACCAATTTCGAGACTGGGCATGGGAGCACGTGCCTCTAATCCCAGCTCTTGGGAGGCTGAAAACAAGAGAATCAATCTTTATGTGTCCAATCTATATAGTGAGACCCTGTACTAAATACAAATATATATATATGTATATACATATATATATGTATATACATATACATATATATGTTACGTAGAGCTACATACACACCAATTTTTAAAAATGAGAACAGCTCTATCTGCACAGCCAGGTTTTGAGAAGACTGCTTGGACAATAACACCATATGCAAAGAGGGAAACACTGCTCCAGAAAGACCAATGCAACCCGACAGAAGTACGGTGAAAAGAGAAAAAGGCACATCTAAAAAAATTACAAAAACACAAAAAGCAAAGTTTTGTTAACAACCTAACTGTGACAGAAGCTGGGAAAATCACTTATGACACAATTTTAAATCTGGAAAAGCAGAAGGCTGGCATGATTAAAAGCTGTACATTTAAGGAGAAGTGACCAAATGAAAGAAACAGCTTGCCTTTGTTTTGTTTACTACCTTGCTGAGGAAGCCAAGAATTGAGGGACTTCTGAGAAATAGGACTGGGAGAAATGTGGGTGTCACCTGACAAACATAGAGGCTACTGACTCTGAGAAGCTTAATTTTGTATAAGTTGAGACTACCTGAGCCAGCTATAAAAAATGCCAAAGAAAAAGAAAATCGAAAAGGTTATGAGGAGCTGTTAGGGAAGTAGTGACTTAAAAAAGATTAAAGGGAGTCAAAAGTAATGGATCCAGGATCGGGGAGATGGCTCAGTGCAATAAGCGCTTCCCTGGCAAGTGCAAGGGCCTGAGTTCAATCCCCGGTTCCACAAAAAAAAAGTAATGGATCCAGAATACTGAAAACCTAAAAAATTATCACTAAAAAGAATTTATACAATCCGAGACAGTTAACAGGCAGGCAGGATTATGAACTAAAGGCCAACCTGGACTACATAGTGAGTTTGAGGCCAGCTTAAGTGACACAGCAAGACCCTTTCCCAATGTAATCCCAGCATTGGGGGGCTGTGTCAAGAGGTTTGCAAGTTCCAGCCCAGCCTGGGCACGTTGGCCATATACTGTTTCACAAGGGAAGAGGAAGGGGGGAGTGCACTGGGAAAACAAGCATAAGCAGGAAAGGTCACAAATTCAAATACTCCAATTCAGACTCCAGGCACCCCAGTTCTGTGACCAGGACTGTTTAACTTCATTAGATTTTTAAGAGGTGAGTTCTCTTAATACCACTGTTCACATATTCTGAGTACTAAGTAAGATACTACTTCCAGTCTACAAAATGTATCTTTCTTAGTCCTCTACCAAACTATGACAGGGCTATGAAAGACAAGGAAATACAGGTTCAAGAATCTGAGACCCAGTGACCACACTGCCCTTTAACAGTGTGACCAAGGCTATAACCAATCCTTCACGCTGTAACATACTCCAGCAATCTGCATGCTGAACAAAATTTACACAAATTCAACATTCGTGTAAATTAAGAAACCGTGAAAGTAGGACTTGTATGTTTTAATGTGCGAAGTCTGATAACTAAAAGTACGGCCTGGGGACCAGCCAAATAGCTAGGCAGATTAAAGCGCCTACAAGCAGGCACGGGGTCCGGAGTTCCGACCCTGCTGTGCCAGCCCCACCCCGGGGGCGCAATGGGATGGCAAATGAGACTGGGCGTGGCGCCGCGCGCCTGTAATCCCAGCTCTTGGAAGCTGTGAACGGGGGAATCACTACGAGTCCTATCTAGTAGTGAGACCCTGAATACCCTGTAGACCCTTCCCTAAAAAATACTAAATAAATAAATAAATGATAAAGCTACATTCCTGACCACTTTAATTCACAGGTCCTAAATACGGCCGTCAAGAGGGCCGGGGAGATGGCTCAGTGGAATAGCACTTTCCTGGCAAGCGCAAGGGCCGAGTTGAATCCCCGGTTCTGCAAAAAAAAAATTAAAATAAAATAAACAACTCAGTGGGCTAAGCACCTGCTTAGGCAAGCGCAGGGGCCGGGGTTCGATCCCCAGCACCACAGGCCGCGCTGAGAGGGCAGAGACGGGTATAGTGGCGCAGGCCTGTAATCCCAGCACTAGGGAGGCTGAAAACAGAAAGATCACTACAGGCCTGAGCTGCGTAGTGAGACCCTGTACCAAATACGATACTGTAAAAAAGCCCTAAGTAGCGTCTTTCAGTTATTAAGAAAAAGCATTACTTGACATTAAGCTGGTGAGGAAGAACAAGGCACCGTGAGCCTAACGGAACAATCCACAAATCAGAAGGTCCCTCTCTTGTGAGCAGGAAGGGCACCGACCTGCACCTGCCAACCAACCCCTTTCACCCGCGAGCGGTGAGGCGGCCGCCGCCGGCACGACCACGCGCACGCTCACGCCGCGCTCCGCAACGCGTCAGGGCCCACGAAGCCCGAGGGCCGCGCGCGGGCATGGCAGCTGCGGGAGGGCGCGGGCGGCCGGCCGGCGGGGACCCGCGAGCCGGGAAGCGCCGGGGGGGAGCGCGAGGACCCGGGCGCTTACCCTCCGTTAAAGGCGTAGGGCGAGAACCGCTGCTGCAGCGGGCCCGCCGCGCCGTACGGCTCCGCCGCCAGCTCCCGGCCGGGCCCCGAGTGGGAGGCTACAGTCGACAACATCGCGCCGCGCGTCCCCCACAGTCCCTCTGCTGTCTCACGGCAAGATGGCGGGCGCGACCGGAAGCCGCGCGACTTCCGGCCTCCTCGGGCGCCTCTAGCCGGCTCTCGTCGCTGCTCTGGAGGCCGCTCAGGCGCGGGGCGGGGCGAGCCGGGCGCCCCCCGTCCCGAAGGCAGCGCCGGACAGCCCTGAAAGCATGGCCAGGACGCGCAGTCCCCGAGAGTCGAGGGAATGGACACGGACGGGCCCCAGACGGGCCTGTGCACCCCTCGGGGCTCAGCGGTGCCGCGGGCTTGCGCCCCGGGGGCCGCAGGACTCGACGTTCACAGGGCCGTGTTCTTTAATGGCGCCAGACTGGACGCGAGTCCAGTTGCCATAAACAGAACGAGTAAGTTAGCCGAGGCGCAGTCATCCTGTGGGACGGCCCGCAGCGAAGCAGCGCACCGGCCGGAGCCAGCCGGGAGGCTCGGGGGAGACGCCGGGCGACGCCGGCGACGGGAGCCTGCCAGGTGCGCGTCCCGCCCAGCGCGTGCTGCGTGGTGGCTCGGTCGTGGCGAGGAGAAAGGCCTGGTGGGGATCGTGGTGCTCGCAATTTTCTGTTTCGTGTCTTACAACTATTTGTCAAACTGCACGTCTTAAGAGATTTTCTGGTACGAATGTTATCTTTTCAGCCAAAAATGCAAGCAGACAAACGAGAACTGGCTAATTAATGTCAAGTGGACTATCTGATGTGTACATGCGATTCTGGAGCCAGAAAAGATTTTTTAAAAAATTAATTGTTTAAAATGTTTGTTAATTGAAAAGGATAAGAAAAAATATTTTCTTCACTACCTATGGACAGATGAGTACACTGTACTTATTCGGGTCTCCACTGGTTAACACAGCGCCAGGCGCTGGCCTGGACATGAAAAACAAGTGTGGATTTTCTTGTCCTTAAGGAACTCGGAAAGTCAAAGTGCACAAGAAGGTAGTAGCACAATTAAAATATTGTATAAGCACAAGCTATCAGGTTTGGTTTTCTTTATTCCCCAGATTTGATTAGCTAACATTCCTTGCAAGCATCATAAGGAATACGTGCTGGCCAAAGGTAGCATCGCCAATAGGTTAAAAAACAAGACAAATAACAAAACCCAACCTTTGAAAAAAAACAAAACGGTATCTCGGCCGGCCAGATAGCTCAGCGGATTAAAGCTCCCGTTTAGGCCGACGCAGGAAACGGGGTTCGATCCCCCGCGTGCGTGCCGGTCCCGCCCCCGGATCGCGCGCCTGTTATCCCGGCGCTAGGGAGGCTGAGAGTCCGATCGACGTAGCGAGAACCTGTAGACCCTGTACTAAGTACATTAAAAAGAAAAAAAAAAAAAACCTAAAAATTGGTATCTCCCTCGCGGGCCGAGGGACAACTGGAAAAGGCTGGGGCCCCGAGGCAGTCCCAGAGGTCGCCGCTCCTGACCGCGTCTCCGCGAGCTCCGCCGGCTGCGGCGGGCCGGGGCGGGCGGAAGTGACGTTATCAGCGCGCGCCGGGCGCTCAGTGGGGTCGGGAAGGGTCGCGCGGGCGGGCGTCCGGGCTGGCTGTGGTTTAACTTCGTTTCCGCGCGCTCGTTGTCATCTCTCCAGCGACTCCAGGTAACGGTTTCCTTCTCTTTTCCTGTTTTCTGAGGCCGTGGGCGAAGGCGGCCACTGCCGCGAGACGGACGACGGAGGCCGGCGACGAGCGCAGGCGACCGCAGGGAGCGCTCCTCCCTCCGCGCGCCGCGGCCCCTGGCCTGTACCCGCCGCCTGGCTGCGACTCCGCCGGGTCCTCGGCCGTGGCGTCCGCTCCGCGAGTCAGGGTTCCGGGACGGCCGGCCCAGGACAGCGTGCACACGTAAGACCCCGACGGTGCCCTGTGCGGCTTCCCCTTGCTCCTTGCTGGGGGGGCCGACTTCACCCCGGCCGTGCTGTCCCGCTTGCTACTAGCGGGCGTGGTTTTATCATAAAGTTGTCCTTGATACTTTTAAAACATATTGTCAGAAGTTTGTTACTTCGAACAAGATTTCGCTTGAGGTACAAGCATACGTACGCGCGCACCACTGTTAGTTACAAGGTCTGGGTCCTTGGGCTCAGGCCGGCTGAGTGTCCCAACTAGATAGGCTTTTGGGGAAGAAGTTATTATGCCTGAGGTATAGGGCCGCTAGAGGGCTGTGCCAAATTAATTTGATCGCCTTCCAAAGTCTCCAGCTTGATGCTTTGGTTTCCAAAAGGTGCAAACAGTTGTTTTCAAAGGATAAGTCCGTGCAGTGGCCACTGTGTGTGTTTGGTGCCATTGCTGGAACTGAGTTGAGCTCTGAGTGGTCTACAGAGTCTTCCACCTTGTGCAACAACCAGTTCTTTCTGTAGACTCTTAAGTTTACAAAAAGTGGTCGGGACCACAAACGGCCCTGGATGAGTCTCAGGTCCTACTTGGGCTCTAAATCATAACCTGTCTCTTGGCTCAATAATGGCAGTTGGTGCCTTGAACTGAATTTTCAGCCTCCAGTGTTTTCCTCTCAAATTTACCTACTCACTTGCACTTCAGAATTCTGTAACTGATTTTCTTATCTATATAATAGCATGTAACACTTTTTTTTTTCCCCCCCAGACAGATTCAGCTGGCTATGTAGTTTAGTCTGGCCTGGAATTCACAGTGACCTTCTCCACTCAGCCTCCCAAATGCTGGTCTACTTGACCTAGGGATTGTATCATTTTTTACTGAGCCATCTGCCCGGCCTCCATTTTTTAATTTATTTTTATGTAAAGGTCTCACTACTCTGTAGTGATCCTCCTGTTTTCGGTCTCCCAAACGCTGGGCCTAGGGGTGGAGCTAGAAGAGGATGACACACCGGGGATTGAACCCGGGTCCCTGCATCTGCCTAAACAGGCACTTTAGTCTGCTGAGCCATCTGGCCGGCCACTAGGCAGTGTATTGCTTTCTTTTTTATTTATTTATTTATTTATTTATGTGTGTGTGTGGCCAGCTCAACCCACCAGGGGGCGGGCTGGCTGGCATGTGGTGCTGGGGGATTGAACCGCAGTCCCTGTGCTTTGCTAAGCTTGTTCTAAGTAGGTGCTTTAGACCACTGAGCCATCTCACCAGCCCCAGTGTATTGCTTTCAACGTTGTGTCTGCAGCACTTCTGTTACAACAGTGTCAGAAAAAAAAAGTGTAAGTTTCTTATCGCTCCAATACATTTTCAAAAGCAGAGCTTTCCTTGATCTCTTTTTTTAGTGATGTTTGTAGGATAGTCTTTGGAGTCCTTTGCCTTCTGCAAGCGATTGTCACATTCTTTCATTGATTCAGCAAATGTCTGAATATCTCTGTACCAGTGAATGGAATGTGGATCTTTGGACAGTAGTCTGAGAATAATTTTGCAACCTGTGAGCTCTACTTGAGAATATCTTACTAAATAAGAAATGTTTGAACTGAAATTTAATGATAATAGCTAATATTTGGCCTATTCTAAGCTATGTAATGAGACATATTTTAGTGAGTTAACTCAGTTAATTCTATGCTCACAGCATCCTTGAACAAGTTATAGGTCTGTCTGAACAGAACTGATTAATAGAGGGGAAAAGGAGAGTCCTCGGTGCTGGGGATTTAGCTCTGGGTAGAGTGCTTCTAGCATGGTTGAGGCCCTAGGTCCTACTCCCAGCAGCCTCTTCCTCCACAGTCTTTTAGTAGTCATTGTTGGAAATAATTACAGATGCATAAGCAATAAAGACGTGGTTTGGAGCCGGGGAGATGGCTCAGTGGCATAAGTGCGTACCTGGTAAGGGCAAGGGCCTGAGTTCAATGCCCAGCTCCCCCCCCCCAAAAAAAAAAGAGATGATGATTTAAGCAAAGCAGATCTACACATGGTTCACACTGATGTATTACCTTTATTAAAATATGTTTTAGTTATTGTATCCACATGTCTTCTTTCACAGATGTTTTATTGATGTTAGAGCTCAGTAAATGCTAAAGTATATTGGGTCTGGATCTGTATTTATTGAACTTACATGCCTAAGACATTGTGGAGCCGTACAATTGAGTGGAATATTTTAAAACCTGAACTTGGCCTAACAGTGCTCTATATACATACAGTGCATTATATCCGTGTTCTATGGTGATAGTATAATTTGCTTAAGCACTAGTTTTCTCCCTGCGTGTGGTAATGCACTGCCTGTAATCCCAGCACTTGAGAGGCTGGGGCAGGAGGATCAATAGGAGTTCAAGACTAGCCTGAATTGCATACTTTTTGAGAACCCTGTTTCAAAAAGACAAAACAAAGAGAAACAATAACTAATGGGCCAACTGGATAGCTCAGTGGATTAAAGTGCCTGCTTAGGCAGCCTCAGGGCTGGGGAACCACCCCCCATCCCCTTTTGTGCTGGCTTGGCCTGATAATCATAGTGATTATCCTGTTTTCAGTCTCCCAGTTGCTGGGATTACAGGTGTGGCAATCCCAGTATAATCCCAACACTTGGGAGACTGAAAACAGGATAATAAGTATGAGCCCAATTGGTGTGAGACCCTGTAGACCCTATACTAAATACATTGAGAAAGAGAGAGAGAGAGAATAAATGAATGAATGAATGAATGAATGAATATGAATTAGTTGTCTCTTAGCTTTCCCCAAAAATTTCTTGCACTTGTTATGACACCTTTAGGTAATTCTGCATATTGTCATGAAAAACATGAAAGAAGAGTGTGGACTTTTGGGTTTAAGAAAAAAAAAGTGTTCCAAAATCTCATTGTTTTCCTTAGTTTACTTTGTGTACCACAAAACTGTGGTGATAGACTATATGGGCTCGTGTGTGTGTGTGTGTGTGTGTGTGTGTGTGTGTGTGTCTTACCTTAAATTTTTTTCTTCTGAGCAGTGTCACACTTTCTTGGTGTGGAAGTTTCTAAGAAGAGTGTCCTGGGGATGCTGTAGGAAGACTGAGTGCTGAAGAAGGTCAGCATCATGGATCAGAACAACAGCCTGCCGCCTTACGCTCAGGGCCTGGCCTCTCCCCAGGTAAGAGAGCCGGTGGGCACATGCGTGTGTCCTGAGCGACAGACATATCATAGGGCACACAGTTGCTTACCTGTGACTGAAAATGAGTTTGGGTTTTTTCAGGCTCTGGATTTTGGGAATGTTGTGTTAGTCTTCGAATGGGTGCAGTATTTTATTTGGCCATTAGTTTGAAAGTTAAAATGTTTTTGTCTATAAAACAGTTTTGTGACAAGCACTGAGAGGAGAAAGTCCCAAGTGATTCTAAAAGTCCTTGACTTTGAAAGTTACCTTCACCAAATTATTTTCAAATTTTATCTTTTCCTTTTTATGTAAAAAGTTCTAAATCACATGCCTTTTTAAAATTTAGTAACTTCTGATGAGATATAACTCAGATACAATTAAAAAACACCATTTTAGGTGTGCTTTTCCTGGTGTGCTGTGCCGGCCCCATCCCGGGGTGCACTGAGACAACAATGGAGACTGGGTAGCACACGCCTATAATCCCAGCACTTGGGAGGCTGAAAACAACAGGATCAGTACAAGTCCGATCTGTATAGTGTGACCCTGTAGACCCTGTACTAAATACATTAAAAAAAAAAAAAAAAAAAGCTGTACCTTTTGATAATTGTGTCTCCCTGTGTAAGTTGTAGACCATTCCATTTACCCTAAAACGTCCCTTCTTGCCCTTCGCAGTTGTCTCTTGGCCTTAGGTGACTACTAAATCTGTTCTTCAGTGCTAAAGATTAGTTTTGCCTACGGGTCGGGGAGATAGCTCAGTAAAATAAGCGCTACCCTGGCAAGCACAAGGGCCTGAGTTCAATTCCCAGTTCCACAAAAAAAACAAAATTCACCTAAAAAAAAAAAAAAAAAACACAAGTAAGTTGGGACCCCAGGGTGAAGGATGGGGTCTTCAACTAGGAGAGGGACAAAGAAAACCAAATGTAAATCACGGACATTAACTAAAGTTCCTAATCAGTTTTGGTAAAAAGTACAGGAAATACTGTTTACAAGAGCCATTAAAAGGCAGGCTTAGTGGCATACATCTGTAATCCTAGCACTGAGGGAAGCTGAGGCAGAGGGATGGCAAGTTGGAGTACCAACTGGACAAGTGAGCAAAACCCTGTCTCAAAATAAAAATACAAGATGGACTGGGAACCCAACTCAGTGATATAGTAGAGTACTCCTAGATCTGATCCCTAGCACTGCAGAAGGAAGGAAGGAAGCAAGCAAGCAAGCAGGCAGGCAGGCAAGCAAACAGGCAAGCAAAAAACCCCCCCCAAAACTGCAAAAA